TTGCAAAGTGTTGAGTGTTCATCAGAGCCAGGGTGCTGGAGCTTAGTGACAGTGACAAGTACAAAATCACCTGCTTACTCACAAGTCTGGGCTGTGGGAGAGGGTATTTCCTGGGCTGCACTGTGTGAGCAAGCCACTTCTGTCCTCAGTGGTTAGGAGGGCACAGCACAGGCTGTCTGTCAGCCAGAGTGACCGGTGAAGGGAAGGGATTGCTTGGACCAGTGGGTCAGCAAAAACAGAGTCCCAGCTCCAGCCCTTCAGCTAATGTTGAGTGAGTCACATTTCAAGCAGTCACTGAATGTGAGTTGCCTCAGGAAGGTGCTTTGCGGAGGCACAGGGGCAACTGCAGCTACTAGTCAGCCCCCTGCAAGCCTGACTCTCTCTGTTCAGGCTCTTGTGCCACGTGTGCAATTAGTGTATTAGTGAATTTGGCCCTTTCTACAGTGGAGTGCTGTTTGGTGATGGCAGAAAGTGAGGGAAAACAACACAAGTAAAAGGAAAGCAGATGTTTCCAAGGGTGGTGGCAGGATTCAAGTAGACTAGCCTAAATATCTGTAGAGGGGAAATCTCTCACACCAAATCCAGTTGTGAGGGACAAGGCAACTGTGGAGTCAGATAAATATGAAAGCCCAGGTAGGGTGGAAAGGTGATGATAGATACAGGAAACCTAAGAAAGGAGGAGGGCAGCTCCAAAGAGGGACCCAAAAGGACTGGAGATCTGTGAGCAGGGGACTCTGCTGCTCTGTTGTCCCAAGGATGTCTGGGCCAGCAGCAAAACAAATATTCTTTATAAAGTGAGTGTGCAAGAAATGTTGGAGAGAAGAAAAGTGTTACTACTTTTGTCCCGGGGAGGAAAAGAGAAGGGTGCATATAAGTTTACCTGTCTGCTTTTGGGGACCCTAGAAAGCTGGGAGACACCCCTTTGAAATGGGGAGGTCTCTTGGCAGATTGTCTATGAAGCTTCCCAACATTTGCCTCCAGAAACAGAAAAGCAGATGGAAGGAGACCCAGCAGGGAAGTGAAATCTCATTTATCTGCACAATGCCATCCTCCTGGCTCTAGCCAGCTCTCTGCATGTCAGCTAGCATAGAGCCTACCCCATCCATTCTGCTCCAGGCCTTCCCAAGCCCATCCATCACCCTATGGCTTCTTATTTACAGAGAGCCTGGCACACAAAGCTGGGTTTATTGTCTGTCATCCCTGCCACACATGCACATACACACAACACCCATGCAGATGCACATACACTTTGTCTATTGCTGCAGCTTGGGTTTGTCTGGAGTCCAGCAAATCTTTATGCACTCCTGCCAAAGTCTGAGCTTATCAGAGCCAAAGAGAAATCTGGCCCAGAGTACGTGCTTGGGTCTAGCTTGGTTCAGCCCTTGAGCATAGGAACTGCATCATTTGTGGTCTGGGGTGATAAAGGATCTTGATATTCTTTATTTCTCAGTTCAAGAGTTTTGTTTCTCTTGGCTGTGACATGAAGAACACATGAAAAGTTAAAGCTAGGACTGTCATGTATCATGTTTTAAGTCAGATAATGTGAATGAATCCTCCTTTGTCAAATACAAAACAAATACAGCAGGGGCACTTTCACAGCTTATTTCCCCACCAAGGTGACATAAATGTATTTATAGGGAGAAAACATGCCTGAGTTTCTGTGTACCTACTCAGTCCATGGCTGCCTTGCAGGATTACAAGCAGTGAGCAGAGTTAATAGTGATTTTATCAGTCCAGAGGAAGAGACTGACCACAGGGAAAGTTACCCAAGATGCACCCCCCCCCCCCCCCCC